AGGTACCGAAGTCGGAGCAAGCTCGACGCACCAAGAGGTGTTGCCTTTGGGTGTGTAGGAACCCTAAAACCTCAGAGATGATGACGACGAGATGTTTGCTCGAGGGTTCATGGCTCTTGCCTAACCAAAAAAGGAGCCAAGGAGCATGAATAGGAAGCACATCACCACGAGCGTGGGCATCTGCAGCAGCCAGTCAGTCCTTCAGAAAAGGAGTATATCGGCTACATCGGCTCCGTCGCAACGAGAGTTCTACAACCCCCAACACTGTGATAGTTCATGCATTACTTCACGCGGAAAGCTGATGATGGAATGGGACGTTTCGAAGCTACGGGTGCTTCATGACATGGGCGACCTCTGGGTACGCCGAAGATCTTCAGGCCTTTTAGGCCCCTCGAGCCTCTCGAGGCCGAGCTGCTATCGGGGAGATGCGGAAGCTTTGCGATCGTTGCATAAGACGGAGGCCGGAATCAAACCGGCTCTGCAAAACCACTCCAACTCCGAACCCTACACGTCACCTGAAGGTCAGCTGGAAGAGAGGGGCTCCTGGAAAGGCTCGCAAGCGCGTCGGCGGTCAGCAGCTGTCCCAGCGTGCTGCACTTCAGGGTGTTCTCGAACTCCTTGCAGATTTGTTTGGGCGACGGCATGCGACAGCTGCCCGAGACAAGTGTGTCAGTGTCAAGATTCGGATCTAGGAGTTCAGGAGAGGCAAACTTTAGGGCTTAAGCGTGCTGCGGTTTAAGGGCCCCCGGAGCTCCTCCAGCACGACACTAAAGATGGCCATCCGTCTCGTTCTGCAGCGCACAAGGCCAGGCTTAGCCTCGTCGTCTTCGATGCTTTCGATTTCCGTCGGATTCGTCTCCTTAGCTTCTCAGATAGCGCGCAAGTGAACAGCCAACAGCTCTGCTGAGCATTTTGTAAAGGTCCAGCTACTCGGCTACACGAAAGCGACAAATAGTTCAGAATTCGTGAAGTGAGTGTCCCAAACTGCTCGCTCCTCATCCCAATAGGCACATTTTCTGCGGGCACTCTTGCTCACCTGCAATCGCGGCAGCAACGCGATGCTGACTTGACCGAGAAGCACTTCTCAAAATCACCGGGCCGCAGAACTGCAGAAACCTAATCACTCAAGTTCGATGTCGCAAGGCTGCGCTTCAAACCCTCCCGATCCAAATCTTCATCCCCAAGTCCAGGAGCCTGAAGCCCTGTAAGCCTCCACTTTCTTTGCAACCTTGCAGATGTCCCCCCCCTCATTCTCTTAAACTCCAAAAACCTCCCCGACGAATCCTCAAAGCAAACGAGGGAGCGCCAACCTTGCCTGGTCCAACCTCCGCTTCTTGACCTCACACAGGGTCTCGGTGCTTTTTAAGGTTTTTATTGGGTCTGTGGGGTCTTCGGGGTGTTAGTGTAGTTTCGTGTATCTAAGGCTATTCAAGGAGTTTATACGCAGTTGAAAAGGACTTGAGGTTTCGAAACACGGCACGATTAACGGCTTTCTGTTTGGGAGCCCTGCCCCATCCCGGCTTGTGCGGTCCTCCAGCTGAACCGTCATCGGAGTTTTCAGCGGGCCTCACAGGGGGCCCCGTGGTGTTTTTTGGGAGGGGTGGGAGGGCCGAAGGGAGGACCACTGATACATCTGGCGGCTTTCAGGACACACTCAGGTCTTGGGCTTCGGACCTATGTCGATGACGGTTCCATTCTCGTCGCGGACGTTGATCACCAAGGGCGCCGACAGCAAGGTCGTCACGGGGCCTTGCTGTTCTTGAAAGCCTGCTCCGGATGTTACTCTACCCAAGCTAGCTGGAGGCATTTCGGGGGCGAAAGTCGCTAAGGCAACTGGGTGCCTGGAAGAGGCTCCATGCAAGAGAGCTATGCGGGATACCAAAAACAGACAAGCCGAACTCAGGATACTCTTCGGTCTTTGCCCCAAACTCTGCCCCTCAATCCCGGACTGCATGGTTTTCAGTGGTTTTTTCTTGCGCCACATGCTTTTATTTTGTTGCTACGCCTATAGGGCGTGATGTTTCCTTCAACCCCGCTCGCCCCGACCCGGGCCCCCCAGCCCCCACCCCCGCCCAAGGAACACAGACAATTAGATTAACAACAACGTCCGTCGAGAGAATAGAACTTAAAAAATTAAGAGACTGTTACCCTTCACTTGATGACGTAATATGACCCTGAACCCCGTGGGCACGGGAGCACCCTTCTTTGTTTGGGCGCGCGCGGGCCGCGTTTTTCTTCTGCACGCACAGCCCAAGCTCGTTCGCTGGCGTGCGGGATGCCGTTTCGGTGGGGGTTCCTGGATGTTGTGTGTGGAAGACCCTAAACCCCAAACCCTAAACCGTAGACCCTAACCCCTAAACCATAATCCAGGTGCGGCTCTTGTCTCCTGGGATCGTGGATGTGCCCGCAAACAGACGCCGGTCGGAACTGTGTGCTTTGTGCTGCGCTGGGCCTTGGCTCGCGTGTGACCCACAGCAAAAAAGAAGGGGAAACCAGAAAGTAAGAGACGACCATCACCAGCCTTCTTGCGTGGCCGGAGGAGATGTGCTGAACTTCTCAGACAGTTCCTGGCTGCAACGAGGCACTCTACAGTAGCTAACGTGGAAAAGCTTCGTAGCTGATATGTTGGGTTGTCTGGCTGGTTTTTTCTCAAAAGCACCCGCAAAGCTTGTTGGACTACTGATTTCTCAGCTCAAAAAGTGAGCTTGTCGGGACGACTGATCATGCCTTGGGAGGATTGCTCCTGCGCCTGTTGCGAGATAATGTCGGCCCCCGCTTCTTCAACCCATCGAAGCCGAAATGTCAACCCGAAACCACCCCGTTTGGCGAGGTATCGAAGGATTTTCCAGCAAGGGGGGGACGCCTTGGATGCAGTGCTTCTTCAACAGGGACGTCAAGGCCGTGATTTGGCACTATTGGGGAATTTGCACAGGAGGGGGGGGGGCATGGCCTAACGGAATAGAGGATGGAGCCTCGACGACAGTTAAAAAAGAATGTGAGAGATAGAGCAGCGGCTGTAGCCTATGCTTCACGGCTGAGGGCCAGTTTTGTCTGCTTCCTGGCAGTCTTGCAGTCCAACTGAGTACAGGAAACAGATGAGCAGAAGCCATCAGATTTTTTTTTGCTGCAAGTAGCAAAGTGTAGCTCAAGGGCCCTTAGATTGAGCATATTGCTGAGTGCATCAGGCCTGTTATTGCCTGACAACTGGAGCATGTTTCTTAACGCTACACTCGCTCCCCTGAGCCTCCCTAGCCTACGAGGGTCCGGTACAGTTGCTGGCGTTGTGGCACAGCCTGATGCCTCCCTCACCTGCTGTCCTGGCCTGCTGTTTCATGGTGCTGTGTGGGCTGTTGCCCTTTTATGTCAGGAGAATTTTTCTTGGTTGCTTGACCCACACCTTCGTGACAACATGCCACCAAGAGCTGAGAACCCCTCCGGCCTCATTCATGACCACGACGCTCAGCATGAGATGGCCATCTCCTGCCAAGACCTGGGCCTGCTGCAGCACACCGACGGGGACCTGTTGCATTCAGTGGCAGGAGCAGCCAGGGTAGAAGGTACAGCACTAGGAAAGACTTACGGCTGCTGCACATCCTCCTAGAGCCCTCAAGAGATGAGTGCAGGTTTTGGCTTGAAGGCACACCTCATCTCCCTACAATCGGTCATCCACGCCTCGGCGGTGGCTGATGAGTTGTCCACGCTGACTGTTGCAGGCTCCCCAGATTCTGCCAAGCGTTCAGGGCTATAGACCACGACCTCGCCGGAGTGGCTTCAGGAGTGCCCATGGTTGCTCTCATGGTTGCTCCCAAACACCCACGCTATCTGAGAGAAAAGTGGTGCTTGGATGGCGGTGGGATGTAGGTGAGAAAATGACCGGTGCAACCGAGCCTTGGTGGAAGATTGGCATTTGAAACAAAATGCCATCGCTCAGCTTCACCCGTAAGTCCCGCTTCTTCCACTGTCCCGCTATACCCTTGGCAATAAACATCGGATGCTACACTACAGCCAGGGTCGAGAGGGTATCAGTTCCAGACTGTCACCAGAAGTGTCTGAAGGATGGCAAGTCTTGCGGCTTACGTCTCATGTTTTTTTCAGGCTTTTCGGATCCGCGCCTTCCCATCTCCGGCATCGGTAGAAATGGACGCTTCGCCTAGCACGCCTGTGCTCGCGTTGCCTGTGCCGTTCAGGCTACCCAGAAGGCTTGTCAGCGCATTCTTGACCGCGACCTTGGCTGCGCATCAGTCTTTAAGGTGAAGCATCTGACCAAGATGATTTGGTTCAACGCACTCAATCAATCTGCAAGCAGCGCAAGGACTGCACAAGCCGCTTTTGCAGTCCATGTTCCAGCTCCCGTGCACAGCAAGAAGTCTCATGGAAGCGTGGTCTGTACACTCATGTCTGCGAAATACACATCACGTGAGGCTAAACGTGGCTGTCAATTATGCTTTCCTCGAGGTGGTGTGGGTGTCTTCCATCAGCAGGAGGCCGAAGCTGGGGTCTTGCAGGCCCTGGTTACAAAGCCTCGCAGCTAGAGCCCACCCCGCAAGCCAGCACCGACGCCTACCATCAGGCTAACGCATAAGTCTTGAAGCTCTACACAACCCTTCCCTAAACTTCCCTAAACGGTTGCCTTCATTCAAAAGCACTAACGAACCCAGGGTCCAGACTTGCAGCTTGGCATGTAATAAGCACTAGCCGTAACCACTCCTAAGCTTCCGAGGCTCCTACGCCAAAGCCTTGACTTCCCCTCCTCAAGAAGACTCCAGCAAGCTACACCCTCTACACGCGTTGCACCCCCTTGAACGGCACATCAAGACCCAACTGTCACCAACATCCAACAACCTCGCTTTGCGCAAGGCGTCCTGCGTTGCTGACTCGATCTTGTTCACGGCCGCTTTGGCGTCCTCACACTCCACATGAGCACACTTCCACAGCTGTGCTCCGAAGTAGGGGTCTGTGGGTTCTGTGGGAGGCTGTAGATGTAGGAATTTGGGGTTAGGGTTTGGAAGCCGGCTCCAAAGAAAGCTACAAACCAACTCTAAAAATCCTTGAACTGTGGAGCTCTGAGCCTGCGACTCACTTGCCCAGCCCTCCCAAAGCAATCATGCCCTCCACCTGGGGATCAGCCGATCCACCTCTTGGACCCAGGATGCCTCCCCCCCGTCGTAATGCCGCGCTTTAGGGGCCCCCCCCCTGCTTAACGTTCTGTTTGCTGGGCTATTCAGAACACTGTGGCTGTTTGGGGGTGCGCGGTGGGATCCTGTATTCGTAAACAAGTTGGTGGGGCGCCCCTTAAAATAAATTGCCGGGCCTCGCTGTCCTTTTTGAACTCATCCAAGCTCCCTTGTAAATATTTCAACCATTAGAAAGCCCCTGGATCGTTTAAAGAGAGCAGATAACCAACTTCGACTGTTCATGAAGGGGAGGGAACACACTAAAGCACTACAACATTACACGGGACGCTTGCTGTGGGTGCTATCACGGCTACTGTAAAGTAAACCCTAAACCCACGGCCACTGCAGCGGCTAGCCGGCAATGTCCAGTCCTCTCTACGCTGTTGCTCCTCCCTTGCTTCCTCGGTTGCGGCTGTGGAGGTTGTGACAGAGCCTCAGATGCACTCAGCAGCTTTGGGAAGACCCCCGAACGTTGCCCCACACCCAAACATCTCTGACCTGCCTGCCATGCTGGGTAGTTCTTCTATGCCCTTGCCACTAGACTCTCCTGGCTTGCAGCGACTGTGAACCGGAGAGTGACAGCCACATGGTTTCTGGAGGGTGCCCGTTACCCCAGAAAAGAAAATCGAGCTGAACAGGCTCGAGCTACGCGTCGTTGTCGTCCTGCTGGTTTGCGAGACAGACGATGTAGAGGTGCTCGTACTTGTGGTGGTTGTGCTGCTGCTGCGGCTGCTGGTGATTGTCCGGGTGGATGTCGTGGAGGTCAGAGTTGAGGTGCTGGTATAACTGGATGTGGTCGTACTTATGGTGCCTGTTGTAGAGGTGGAGCTGGTTCGGGATGTGCTTCCGCTGGTGCTCGTGCTTGTGGTGCTCGTGCTTGTGGTGCTCGTGCTCGTGGTGCTCGTGCTTGTGGTGCTCGTGCTTGTGGTGCTCGTGCTCGTTGTGCTGTCGGTGCTACTGGATGTGGTGGTACTGCCAGTGGCGCTGGTGGAGCTGGTGCCGGTCGTGCTGCTCGTGGTTGTTTTGCTTGTCGTTGTGGTTGTGGTTGGCATGATCATGTCAACGGGAGGAAGGTGGTCGCCCATCTCATTGCTTCCATCGCCCCTATCGTCGGTGGTGCCCAGGCCCAACTGGCCGTAGTAGGTGTCGCCCCAGCACTTGACAGAGCCGTCGTCCAGCCTGGCACATGTGTGAGAAGCAGCAGCAGCCACTTCGACTGCGGAGCGTCCCGTGCCGAGGTCCACGGCAGGGAGGTAGTCCCCCATCTCATTGCTTGCATCGCCCATTTTTTCGGTGGTGCCCAGGCCCAACTGGCCGCTGCCGTTGTTGCCCCAACACTTGACAGAGCCGTCGTCCAGCCTGGCACATGTGTGAGATTCAAGACTAGGAGCCAATTCCACTGCGGAGCGTCCGGTACCCAGGGCCACAGCAGGGAGGTAGTCCCCCATCTCACTGCTTCCATCGCCCCTATCTTCGGTGGTGCCCAGGCCCAACTGGCCGTAGTTGTTGTGGCCCCAGCACTTGACAGTGCCGTCGTCCAGCCTCGCACATGTGTGATATTTACCAGCAGCCACTTCCACTGCCGAGCGTCCGGTGCCAAACGCCACAAGAGGGAGGTGGTCCCCCATCTCATTGCTTCCATCGCCCATATTGTCGGTGGTGCCCAGGCCCAACACGCCGTAGGAGTTGGAGCCCCAGCACTTGACCGAGCCGTCGTCCAGCCTGGCACATGTGTGATATGAACCAGCGGTCACTTCCACTGCGGAGCGTCCGGTGCCCAGGGCCACAGCAGGGAGGTAGTCCCCCATCTCACTGCTTCCATCGCCCCTATCGTCGGTGGTGCCCAGGCCCAACTGGCCGTAGTTGTTGCGGCCCCAGCACTTGACAGTCCCGTCGTCCAGCCTCGCACATGTGTGTGAGTAACCAGCAGCGACTCCGACTGCGGAGCGTCCCGTGCCGAGGGCGACGGGAGGGAGGTAGTCCCCCATCTCACTGGCTCCATCGCCCATATAGTCGTGGCTGCCCAAGCCCAACTGGCCGTACCAGTTGTAGCCCCAGCACTTGACAGAGCCGTCGTCCAGCCTGGCACATGTGTGAAGTTCACCAGCGGTCACTTCCACTGCCGAGCGTCCGGTGCCAAACGCCACAAGAGGGAGGTGATCCCCCATCTCATTGCTTCCATCGCCCATATTGTCGGTGGTGCCCAGGCCCAACTGGCCTACGTTGTTCCTGCCCCAGCACTTGACGTAACCATTCGCTCGCACGCACGTGTGATGATAGCCGACTGCCACCTGCTCAATCTCACCGGCGGCTGCCTTGACCGCGCAGATCAGCGCCAGCAACGTCAGAGCCATGGCTTCCCGCAAGACGAACCAGAGGCAAACAGAGTAGCAGTTCTCCTACCCAAGAATGCGTGGTACAGAATCGTTGACTCAGGAACGTCCATGAAGAAGCTGTCTAAAACGGGGTGCGAAAGGAAGAGTAGCTGACTAGATTATTCTCTATCGTCGGTGCCCTGGACCCCTCATGAAAGAATCATCGAGGCCCGCATTGTAGCATCCCAGTTTGCCTCTGGCTTCTGTGGCTTCTACGGTCTCACCTCCGTCGGGAGTGCCGTCTGCAGTGGAGCCAAGTACGCCGAACAGCGACAGCCTGTGGCTCTCCGGCAAAAACCCTCCGTGTTGGGAGTCGTTTTCTGTGATCTAACGGAGACGGACGTGTCAATAAACGTCACAGGTTGTAGCAGCGAAGCCGTGACTCTCTGCTCAGAACCTGTTTTGGGGTTAGTTGTTACACAGATCTTGAAGCTGCTCAGAGGCACAGCAAGTTCAACGTGAAAGTCGACGAGGCCTGAGATGCCGACACAGTCAAGAAGTGCTTGAACTCCGCCGTTTGCGAATTTCGCTTCAACAGGTGATCCCCAGCGCCGCTGCCTAAACTCTCGTGCACATTCAACTTGACGGGCCCCGACACTGCAAGAGCTCAAGCTCGGGGGACACCCCGCCCCTTCCCCCCTTCCCCCGCCTTCCCCCTTGCCCCCCCCCCTCCCCCCCGTTTTGCCCACCTGTGCTAATATGTCATTTAACAACAGGTAATCATCCACTTCATTCATTTTTCATCCAATTTACCTCATTCGAATAATCAGGATGGTTCTGGGGACAACATACCTCAGTCGGTTCTATCATTTCATCGCCTCATTCATTCTTCATTTCATGAAGTGTTCCACCCCAGAATTTTACCATTTTCTCAATGCGTATCCAATTTAGCACCACCAAGCTCACAAAATTTAACAAAATGTTAGCTACCTAATCCGTTTTTCCAAAATTCATCACCAAAATCACCTGAAATTTAATGTTGTGTTCATGGTAAATTAATGGTCGTTTAGTTCACTGATAAACTAGTTGTTGTTTTCAAAAACACATTTAACACATTTTAGATATTTAGGAAATATATTCATTATTGAAATAGAGTTCGTTGCAATGGTAAGTGGTTTTTTGTTGAAATATTTTTGAGATTGCTTTAGGAATGTCTTTATAACTGCCACATCGACGAACTACATGATGATAGAATTCTTCTTCTTCATACCAGAAGCGTTTAATGACATCAACATCATAAATAAGAAACCAAGAATTTCTGTATTCTTCAGTAGGTTTTATTTGCTTTGTTTCATGACTAAACTTTATCATTAACTTGTTGCAACCGCCATTGTACTGTGTATAATCATAATCATTGATAATGTCTTTGAAGTGTTGTTTCTGTTGTTTTAAGTATGCTAGTTCTTTGTAGTTGAAGTCAAACTGCTTTAAAATACAATGTAATTGATTCTTCCCAGTGCTAAAATTATTGTATTCTTCTTTATTGCATTTGTTTCCTAATTCATACATTTGCTCACATATCCAAAAACGAACAAATGATGTGACTATATTGGTTTCGTTTTCATTAAAAAAAGTAAAATCAAAACCTCTGAATTTCGTTGCTTACAACAGCGTTTCGAAGCGGTTCCAGCAAA